ATTAGTAAAACAGTGAAAATACAATGAATTAGTGATAATAACATTATTATTTATTAGGTCCACCCTTCGATTTTTTAACGGAAGCAATTCTCTTCGGCATGCTGCGTACAAGCTTTGCACATTAGTCACCACTACTCTGGGACATACTTTGGGACAAAGTAGGCAATTGAAAAGTAAACTCCTCTTACGACGAACAAAAACAAACTCTACAAGGTGCTTATGGTTTCCGCCCTGCTATGTGGTGCGGAATGATGAACGATGACAATATGTGATGAGTCGGCGTTAGGAGCATTCGAGAGAAAGCTTTGCGTAAGATTTATGGTCCTCTACGAGTTGGAAACGGCGAATACCGCAGACGATGGAATGATGAGCTGTATGAGATAGCCGGCAACATTGACATAGTTCAACGAATAGTCCAGCTTTGAAAGTTTTTGATGTAGTACCCGCCGGTGGAAACAGAGCAATTGGGATGCTTCCACTCCTTTGGAAAGAACAGGTTGAGAAGGACCTGGCTAAACTTGGTATCTCCAATTGACTGTGTCTACGCCAGTAAAGAAGAAGAAACATGTTAAAATATAAAGTGACGGTTCATTGACTGTGCCTCAGCATATATTTATGTTGGTATGATAGGTACGAAAATTTTGCTGTTATACTGTTGCCATGAGCAACTCTTAGTAAAATGTTTGATATTTCCTCTTCCGTTGGCTATCCTAAAAATCGTTTGCTATTTTTTTTTTTTTCAAAAAATACAATATATAAAATTTTTTCATAGCATCAAGAGAGAAAATGCAAAATCCTAACGAATTTCTGGTGTCGACGTTGGAGTGCTCGCAGGAAGGTTCTACTTATGTTAGTAGACAGGATATAATGAATTTTCCTTTTCCGTACAAATTGTGGTTAGTTGTGCATTTAGATTTCTGTGACTTTCTACGTTGGAATCGTGATGGTACAGTAATGTTACTAGACTTAATAGCTCTTGAGGATTATTTGAACTCCAACCAGTCTATATTTAAAATTAAAAACCGATCTGTGTTTTTGGAGCATCTGGAACAATTTAAATTTGATAGATTGAACGCGACACCGGAAGCGGAAGAGGATTTACTTTTGCAGTACAAAAACGAAAATTTCCAACGACATCGATTAGATTTGTGTCCAAAAATTCGTCGGCATACTTATCAGTTGCTGGGAGAGGTGGAGAAAATTCACGTTACAAGCGATACAGAGACTCTTATTCAATCGAAAGGCTTAGCTGAGGAGCGAAAATCATGCCAAGCAGCCGATCGCATGTTAGGAGACTTGTGTTTCATGTCACATGGAGGCCTATCTAATATTCAAAAAAGCCGAACTCGTTTTCAAACGATTTTAAGTTTTCAAAACGAGACCCGCATTTTGGAGGATAAATTAAAGGCCTCTGATGAATGCGCAGCTATAAAAGCTCAACAGCGACGTCTTAAATCAGAAGTGCTATTCCGCTCGAGTTTTGGAACTTCGGAAGAAGAACAAGTAATAGAATTACCAGTGGACTTATTCGAGAATCCACATGATTCTGTGCTGCATTTGGGCGCCGATTTCCGCCCAGAATATGCAGGCTATTACGGAAATTGTAATAAAGAGCAAGTATTACACTTTTTCGGGGACTATCTTCCAATGTACGAAGATGGTACAATGGAAGTAAAAAAAATTGTAGCTGACCAATGGTTTGTTTTTGTTAATATTTTTGTTCTTGTAAAAAATATTTTAATATTTTTAGTAACACTAATCAACAACTCACGGAATCAAACAAAGGACCGTTATGTGGCGAAGCGGACTTGGGTAGTAATTTACCATTATCTCTCTCGCAAATGATTCCGCAACAAGGTTTAACGACGTTAAATTTATCATCCACTTTGGAACCGATATTTAAAAACGACGATGACGACGCCGAAAATCACAACATATCTAAAATCGATACCAGCTCCAATATGTGTAACGCAGCGGAAGCTGAGGCGGAGATTTCCATGGAGGAGTTCATTAAATTCAAAGGAAACATCAAGGAAGATCCGAAAGCGAGTTACACCGAAGTAACTAAAGATTTTCCTCAAATGCCATCGGCAATTAAAATGGAAATCACTGATGAATCAGACTCGGAAAATGAAGCTAATTTTCGAAACTTTTTTAGCCAATATCGTGCATCATTGAATTTGCTTTATGAACGCCATTAATAAGAAATGACTTGGTAATTTAATTTGACATCTAGCGTACAAAAATGTGAATATTTAGCTTTTTCAATTATCTAGTTTTCATTTTATTAAAATATTGAAGATCGTTATAATGCCATATCTTCTTACTTTGTTGGTACTGTGTTGAAGGTAAATTTTATATATATATATATATATATATGCATGTATTTAGATTATTGGATTATACAGCCAAAACACATTGAACAATCTGATTCTACTACTTTATCTACAAGCTGTCGTATAGCTGCGTATACAAGTAATAGAGCTGAAATAAGTAGTATTGTTTTATTTATGATAACATTTTCAGTTTATTTATTTAACAAGCGGCCTGTCTCTGGTGTTGCTCCTTAGCCTCTTCCTCGGATACTTCACGAATACATCTGGCCATTGTAGGAGAAGCCCGAGAAATCGGGTCGGTCATAAAATATTCACGCAACTTCTTTTGTTTGATATCGATTTTTGTATTGTCGATTGACTTTGACTATAATGTATAAAAATTGATAAAATCATCTATTTGGCAAATTATTGTAAATCAAACAAATCTTACCGCTCCCAATTGTTCTGCTAAATTTCCGAATATAGCTGCCTCCAATTTTCCAAGTCGCACCAAATGTGGAGCTATATCCTCAACACGATTTCTTAATTCATCCAAGTTATCATAGGGTAAGGGAGTGCCTGAGAATTTCACATAAAAAACTTTTAAAAATCCCTTAACAAATTCCCGATTTAAACTAATTCACCTAATACTTCTGACAGGGCTCTCAAAATCTTCCAATCCTCACGGGCCATTCCTGGTGGCGATACAGCAGCTAATGTCTGTTGCGCCCGGCCTTCTGTGTTTATATATGTAGCTTGCTTTTCAGTATACGCCGCACCAGGGAGCACTACGTCTGCCAGTGAAGCACCATTATCGCCATGATGCCCAATATAAATAACATAACAATCTTTGGGCAATTTTTCGCGAGTGATTTTTCCACCATCAGCACCAAGTAGTATTAGTACCTTTGGTTGTGATTTTAGGGCGACTTGGATGCCAGGCTGATATCCTACGTCGAGGGCACCCGTTTGTCCTGCATTATTCTGCAGAATATTAAAAGAATTCCAATCCTGAAATTAAAATAGACATAAAATTTACAAATGTATGTCGAGCAGAGGTTTGTATTATTTATTGGCGTTTTAATAATTATGCCAAATCTTGAGTTGCTTTAATTATATTAAAATTTTTACATTTTACTTGGGGTGTAATCGTAAATATGCATAAATACTTACTTTTTTATTAAGCTTCTTACAGTAAGCAGCTACTGTGGTATGTATGCCAGCTGCATCGGGGCGTTCTAAGACATCTGCACCAAGCACAATTGCAGGCTTCTTGGCATTTTCAAGGACTTTTGAAAATGGATGGGTACCGCTACAAACTTGATGAATTAAACTAGCGTCTTCTCCCAAGTTCTCATGACTGTATGAGAGATCTATTTTTGGACCAATTGATGCTATTTCCATTTCATTATTGATGTAAGATTTACGTAAACGTGTATTGACTAAGGGGGCCTCATAGCGAGGGTTGGTACCGATTAAAAGTACAGCATCAGCTTCCTCAAGATCTATAATTTAGAGTACACAAGAGTACAGAATTAAACTTTATGAAATGAAACTCGCAACATACCTGCGATAGTAGTATTACAGACGTAATTTGATCGTAAATCAGCACCGGAGCCTTTAATATTAAGGTCTTGTTCGGTACATAAGGTTTCTGCGCCATTACGATTTAATAAATCTTTAAGGGCTACAAGGGCTTCAACGTCAGCTAACTGCCCAGCAACAGCTGCGACAGCGCCCTTAGCGTTCTTTATGGCTTTAGCGACAGTTATTAAAGCTCCTTCCCATTCAACTGCTTGTAATTCACCATTCGGCATACGAACCATGGGCGCAACCAATCTTTGACGTTTTAAGCCGTCGCACGCAAAACGCGATTTATCAGCTAGCCACTCTTCATTTATATCTTCGTTTTCACGAGGCACGATTCGCAGAACTTCATTTGTGCGGGTGCTGACCACTATATTACTACCAACGGCATCCAAAACATCAATGCTGCTAACTTTGCGGATCTCCCAAGGTCGGGCAACAAAACTATTCAAAAATATTAGTTAATTTGTAGTTTTTCTTGCTTGTTGTTTATATTTTTCTTTCAATAAACAGTACCTATAGGGTTTGTTAGTTAATGCGCCCACTGGACACAAATCGATAACGTTTCCAGAAAGTTCAGAGAGGAACAACTTTTCGACATAAGTACCGATCTGCATGTCATTGCCTCGGCCAGTAGTACCAAGATCTTCAACACCGGCTACCTCACAAGCAAATCGAACGCAACGTGTACAGTGAATACAACGAGTCATTATTCCTTTGACTAATGGTCCGAAATTTTTATCTTCCACGGCTCTGTAAAAGTGTACATGTGAAAAAATATTGTTAATTCATAGCCAACTTACCGTTTTCCAGTGTGATTAATATCTGTGAATCGGGATCTATCTGAGCCAAACGCCATTGCTTGATCTTGAAGATCGCACTCACCACCCTGATCACAAATTGGACAATCAAGTGGGTGATTCATTAGCAAAAATTCCATTACACCTTCTCGTGCTTTTCTTGTCATTTCAGAGTTTGTCTTTATTCTCCAACCCTTCATTACAGGCATTGCACATGCAGCTACTGGTTTGGGACTTTTTTCCACCTCTACTAAACACATACGGCAGTTGCCAGCAACTGACAATCGTTCATGATAACAGAAACGTGGAATTTCTACACCAGCTACAGCACATGCCTATTAAAATTATTAGTATGCAATAAGTTCCATTCGTAACTATAAAACAAACTAATTAGTATATTACCTGTAGAACAGTGGTTCCTGGTAAAACTTTGACGGGTACATCGTCAACAAACACTTCGATTTTCTCAGGAGCCTTAGCTGGAGTCTGGTTTACCACGGCGCTGGTGCGAATAGCATTGCTGGCGATTCTATGCGTGGGTGAACCGAAGTTTCCTTGTAGAATCTTCGTTAGCGGTGCACGAAACATTTTTCTGCGAAAAATCAATAAATATATACATACAAATTAACAACATATTTTTAAAGAAAAAAATCAAAGTAGAATCCCCACAATCCCCGAATTACATAAGCCGATGCGAGAATAAACTTAATTGAAAAATCGAAAATATGATTTTTGTTTTCAGTAATGGTTTTTCTAACGTACTCGTTTAGGCAACTAAATAGGTGAATAAAAATTGCTTGAGTAGAAAATCTTACTTGAAAATATTGAAATGTTGTCAACCACTGCAAAAGTTGTTCCCTGCAAATGTATATTTTTATGTAAAGACAATCTTGAAATCTAACAATTGACATATATCCACTGCTGACATTTTGCCACCATATGTCAAAAACACAGATTTGCATTTCCTAGACATCGATCAAAGAGAAATTGATATCGAATGTCGACGATTGTACCTAGTAATTAAACATATCCCAACGAGCGCAAATGCTAATTATTTTTTTTATTTAAACAAGTTAAAAATTGGAGAAATTCAGACATTTTGTTTATACATTTAAATAGATTTCCAAAATATTAACGGTTTATTTTTTATAAATACATAAATACAATCTTAATTTATACACACACAAATATGAATATCCTCAAACAAAATGATCTCAGAATGCAGATATAGTGAGTTAAATTTAAATTAAGTAAAAAACATTATTTACGATTTTTATTCCCACGTTTAAGCAATTACCATACACCTCAATTCTTTAATTATAAATGTTTTTAGCACATATTTTTTAATGTAGATACATTCGATTTCTAGTTTTATAACTAGCGTACACTCAATCACAATCAAAAACGTTGAGTAATTCTAAGATTGTATTAATAGCGAAACCATTTTGAAAAGTTCTAAATCAGAAGCAAATTTTAAAAGTAAAAGCATAAAAACCAAATTAAAAATTAATACAGATTGTTTCTTATTTTGCTGAAGTTTTCTTTTATCAATTTATATATGTAGCTATGTTTCTACAAATATGCATGTTTTAATTCGTCTACAGTAGCAATTTTTCATGTTAATTAAATAATTTTTTAGTAAACTAAAATTTGTTAAAATCTTAACAATTGATTTTTCAAAACAAATATTCACGAGACAACTACTGTTTATTTATTTAGCTTCCTCCTCATTCGAGCTGGCAATTACACGCTTCCTAACATTTTCATCATTCGAATTAGCATTTGAAGTAAGAACAGTGGAAGCAGTAGCATTTTCAGTGACTACCTCGTTCGAGTCTTCTTCCTCGTCGTCATAATTTGTGGGTTGCTCACCTTTGCGTAGCAGTTTGCCTACCAGGGGATATTTTTCTACAAACAAAAAAAAAAAAAATACAATTGGAAAATGGAACACAGTGAACCTTCACCTAAAATAATTGGGTATACCTTTAAACTGCATTCCCCATTCCAGCACGGAATCCATTTCCATAGCAGTTAGGTCACTCAAATCGTCATATTCTTCCTTATTATTTGGCTCGACATTGAAAGTAGCTAAATTACGAGATGCATCTCGACCCGCGAATGATGAATAAGGGCCACCTTGAATGGAATTATAGAAAATTGATAAATATAAATTCAAATTACAGTAGACATTAGATTTTTAGTTAATATTTTTATCAAGTCATGATATGATGGCATCGCAAATAACATAATATATGTAAACATGAGTGTTTGCATGCACATACGAAAGAGTTTTTATTATTTCACAAGTATTGGGTGAGTGATTCTAAGATAACAAGATAAGAGTCCACCTAATTTTATTCGCTGCCACAGTTAATCTGTGTTAAATGTGAGTTTTCATGTGTAGGGTCCATTTTGAGAATATGTTATATATAGAATTCAAAATAGTAAGAAAAACGATGAGTTGACATTTTTCTTGTAGGTACATACATACATTTACAGCAGTGGTTTCAAATTTGAAATTTTATATTTAATGCAAATATATGCACATAAATTGAAATGAAAAGTAATATATGCTTTAGCTTTAGTTTTATGGATGTTATAGCATTACTTTGAGAAATAGTTGGAATCAAGGACAGTGTGTTTTGTATGTTATATATATATATATATATGTAATTGGCGCGTTGTAACCGTTGAAGTAATTTTCCGCCGAGTTCCTTCAATTTGTGGTTTTACGTTTTGATGTTTTTTTCAACAATTGGAGGGACCTCTACAGTTTATACTAAGTCGCCTCCGAACAACTCATGTTTTTTTATGAGGAGCTTTGTATGTAACATATAGACGCAATAAAAAACTTGGTTTCCTAACTTTTGTCCGGTTATAAGAGGTGTCCGCCAGTAGAGGTTATATCTAGGTAATTCCTTGGAATTTTTATTTTCTTCTAACTAAACACTTTAATAAGTCATTTTTAACATATATAATATATCTTTTTTTGCATCCAGCATGCACAGAATTATTTTTGTGTACGTATATCTTACGCTATTGTTTTTACCAATTTAGGTAGGAATGTAGACAAAAACTAAGAGTAACGTTTTTTCGTCTGTTCAAATTATTTTAAAAATACAAATAATGATTAATACAATTGAAAGAACGTATTTATTGCGGTTCAATACATGTGTATATGCATGCTTTTGATATTGTTTTTGTTTTTATAATCCGGATAAATATTCATAGGAGTGCTTTCCATCCACCTATATGTATACACGTCTACGTTTAAGTGTATAAGTTTATGCATTTTCCCTTAAGCATATCACCTGATAACATTTATACTACCGGCCGGCCGCTCTTTTCATCGCCGCACTTTTGAACATTTCACGAACACAAATTTGTTTTCCATTGAATACACTCTTGCACAAACGAAATTGAACTTTCAGCCATATGGCATTTATCTTGCAATTATATTTTTAAGTTTTAACAATACTTGCTTACCTGGACCGTAAAAACGCTTTGCCTTTGTGACGTCATATACAATCCCATTTACTGCAATAAGGATACGACCATCCGGTCCATTACCATCATATGCGCGCAACTCTTGTATAGTGAAATCTCGACGTAATTTTGGCAGTTCAGGTGCTGGTGGCGAACCATCGCCCGATCTGTCCCTAGGAACTTCATATCGATCCTTTACAATTTTGTAGAAGAGAAATACTATAACAGCCACAAGTGCCAAATTGAGTGGGCTATAGATAATTTCCTCTACAATGCCAAATAAAATGGAAGAGGATTTCTCATTGCCGGCTACATTATCGTTAGAATCAGCTGCTCCGGCGGACACTGTCATTTTGTACGTATGAATTTGCAGTTTTATACTACTCACAATATTTAATTCGAACTTTGATCTTGAGCCCTTGCACCACAGTCTCAATTGTTGTTCTGTGCTTTATTTAACTGTTTGTTGAATCTATGTAGTTGCCTCGTTTTTGGTAGATTTCGTAGCCAATCGTAAACGTCGTGTAATTTTTTTTTAACGGAAATGACAGTAATTTCAACGCACTCACCCAAAAATAAAATATAATGCGCACTGATGAAAAATTAATGTTGACGTTTGTTGCTGCTAAGAGAAACCTTCTGATTTTTACCGCAAGATGCCGCAACAACTCATCTTCAGTGTGTCGTGCAGCTTGACTTTACTCAGTAAAATTACATTGCGATTACAATTAGTAAACATTAAAGATTTACTTTCATGCTACAATAATTTATAAATAGATGTCGACTTCATTATTGTCTGACACTAAAAGCGTGGGCCACTCTATGCTTACTAGCCATTTTACTTATATCCCAGCCGTACCGTCCGACTAGAAGTGGGATAAGTAGTCAAAAGTTATGACAGATTTTATTTATCTATTTCTTATATGTATTTTTAAATTTGATCTATTTACAAACCTTTACATATCTCATCCTTTTCACTTTCATTCGCATATATGTTTGCATGCACAGATATACATATAAATATTGTAGTAAAAACCAAAATTTACGGAATTTTTTCGTATAAAATTTAAGACAGCTACAATCAGTTCAAAGAGAAAAGCAATATAAAGAGGAATGTCAAAATCTACAGAGACAAATAGATACACAAAACGTGTCGGGCTAGCACAGCGACACGGTGCGCTGTCCCTTTCATCGTCGGCCTCTCCCCAACAAACGAGTGTTTCGTCGACTAAAAGTATCCCCGTGTAAACTAAGCCTTAAAAACCACTGCCAAATACGAGTGCCAGATGAAGGAGGATGCGTTTGTTTTAAATTCTGCACTAAAGTCTCGTAACCGCGAGGAGTTAAAATTAATGCTATGCAGTCTTTTCAGATTGACTTAACAATTATTGGTAGTTAATAGACTTAACAAATGATTTATTAACTTTTATTAAATTATTGGAGAATTGTAAGATATTTTACAAAATTCCTGGATGGCATGTGTGCGAGCAATTAGCAGGTTATTAAGTTGAGTACAGAATTTGATAGACAGCATTGGAGCTAACTGAAATGTTATGCATTCAGCAATGTGTTTCAGAACTGTGGCACGCGCCGTGCTACCCACCACCCATAGCAGACGAAGGGCTTAGTTTGAATATCTGTGATACGGGCACTGGACATTACAGTCGACTCAACTTCTACTTACACGACCCCAACATACCCGACGTATCCAACGTACGTTTGATTTTCGCAGTGTAGATTATTGCTTTACTGTTTTTTAACCAAGTTTTACATTTAATTGTATGTATGTACGAACACACTGATTCATCGCTAAATCAATGAAACCGATCATGGTTGTATGTAGGCGCAGCGAACGAGCAGGTGATCGGAGAACGAGCTAAACACCGTATTTAGATTTACAAGTTTGTAAGAATGTATGCATTTATGTACGTACGGGTCTGTAGGTATATACATATACGTATGTCAAATCAATGGTTTGATAGGGGTGGGTGTGTGTGTAATCGTATGCAAAAGTATGAACTCGGTATGGAATGGAATGGCTCGACGTTTGAGAGGTGAAGAGTATGGTACTTATGACTTAACTTGATTCTTAATTTTGCGTGCAGAGCGGATAGTTAGCGTTCAGTGAATGGACGACAGTTGACGTACACTTAGGAAGAGTACGGTTGATGCGATAGACGTTAGCAAGAAATGTTCCATTAATTGGTGTCGCGAGTTCGGATTTAAAGCGACCAATATATACAATTCTTACGCTACTGCGACAACAACTAGGGGAAATCCCATCGTCAAAGAACTGGTTAATAATAAATAATTGAGTTAGATGACTTTCAGGATCTGCAGAACTGTGTCATGGGCCAGGAGGCAGCGGAATCGATTTGTCTCACGCCATCGAATGCTGTTCAGCGTATTGAAGCGTCGAGTATTTAATGGGGTAAATAGTAAATAAACGAAAATAATGGACCCATTATAACTGACGTCTTAGTACTGTGAGCCGTAGCCGAAAATATAATACTTGTATCCTGATAGTATGATGGAAATGAACAAGTACACACATTGAGTGGTATGTAAATATTTATGTATATATATGATATAATACGTATACATATACATACATATGTATGTATTTCAACTATGTATTCAAATTAAGAAAATTAATTAAGACCATTGTAGAATATTTTTCCCGTTATAAAGTTCAATGCGAGTTTATGAAACGCATAAACATACATATTCATGTACACACTATGTGCTTGCAAATCTACGTACATATGTACATAATATGTACGCATGCAAGTCATGATATACATACATACATACATACATACATACATACTATATGGATAATATTAATTTCTGAAAGACAACAAGTTCTTGATTTTGCTACCAACAATCTTCAGACAAATCCAAAATTAATGAATTCCCGTTTACCTTCATACAGACATATTATAATAAATATACCATAACATACTGCACAAGACAATTGATTCAACAATTTCGGTTCGAATGTGATGGCATCTTATCAGGAACTTCTCTTCGATTGGGTTGGATTATTCCGACAGACAGATTGCGAACAATGGACCCAAGCAGGTAGGAAACCTATAATAAAAAAATCTTTATATGAAGGTTGGGACAAAAGTAAATAAGTTGCACTTGTAAGTAAGACGCCCGTTAGCCGTATCATTACGCTGACCAGCACTAACATTCACGTGTCTGCAGTCATTGTAAAATGAGCTTTGAACCAAAAGCCAAAATTTAGTTTAGCTTTGAACCTTATATATATATATGTATATTTTTTAGAAAACATTTTAAAATTGATTACTAAATGTGTGCATATGTAGGTTCTTCCAACACTTTGAATGCCGAAATTGGAACTCTGGTACCCGAAAATGGAATATATATGTATGTTCAATAGTTGCGGGGTTATTTATCTGAGGCAATTTATTAAAACAAATCATCTCAAGTCGACTTAAGTCCGGTTCGCTTTTTTTTAGAAAAAGTTATCGTGGCTTAATTTTCAACGGAACAACATATAACAATAAAAATAGCTCTCTCTCTCTCGGTGCAAATTTTACTGGCTTCTTGTCCCACCGAACGCGGTTCAGTAAAAATTGGTAACAATTGTTACGCCCATCAGCCCACCGAATAGAACTAATATCCTAACTAAATCTAAGTTTTTAGATTTGTCTTTAAGGTCTTTAAAGATTTTTTTTTTTTAATTCGGTGTCAATATATACAATGCAATTATTCAGATTTGCATATCTTAAACGAACTTGGAATGATAAAATTAATTGAATTTAGTATTCTTAAATCATAAGTACAAAACTACGAAAAAAACAATGTTTTCAAAGAAACTAATTTAAAAAATTTGAATAATTTGTCTTTGTAAATAGTGCAATTTTTTTTTTTGGATTCTACACAAAATCGTTCATATCTCCAAATAAGTCTTCTGTACTCAAGATAATATGACAAAGTGACACAGATATATAATTAGCGCTTTGTAACCGTTGAAGCGACTTCGATGTGGGACCAAGAACGCACTGTTGATTCATAGGACCGCAAAGGGGCGCACCTCAGCCATAGATTGGGCTCTTTTTGGTTCCCGTTTGACCTAACAGCACGTGAACATTTCGCTCGATATGTGCCCATCTTCGTAAGGTTGGATGAGTGCCCCATAGATGTGACATCTCAATCGGCTGAGGAGTGTCCGGCAAAAGTAGTGCCCATCTTTTCGCCATCTTCTGTGAATGCTTAAAGTAAGCAATATTTTGGACTGTCTACGATGCACACTGCCCCACAATAATTTGGTACTATGCCTTACGCTGGAAGTGTTCCAAGGTCTTAAGTGTTTCTTCATCGCCCATAGCGTTAGACAATATTTGAAAGCGCTGAAAGGTGTGAGTGAGATGGTGACATCACCGCCGCCGGTTTCAGCACCAGCCAGCTCGTCGGCCTTCTCATTGCCTTCTACATCTGTGTGACCAGTGGTATTTACTGTGTTTTCCCGCTGTAGTATATTAATTACATATTTTCATTTAAATCCATCAGTATATTCGTATGTAGATATCTTGACTGGTTCCGATGGTTCACCTCCCGGCCAATCTTCCCTGCTAGGGAAAGAGTAAAGTTCCTATTATACATATGTATGTTCATAAGTCCATCCATAATTATTAAGCCTATTGCATTACCTGCATATGTACGCATGTACATATATATCAATATAAAAATGATTAATTGTATGGACAATATTACTCCGCAGAATTTCACATTTTCCGCTATTTGGAACATAGAAAAATGAAACATGGAATAAATATCACAGAAAAGTAATTTCCTTATACTAATATAAATACATATATACATATGTATGTATGGCGGCTGTGATAGCCGAGTGGTTAGCATTGCGTACTGCCATTCGGATGGCTCGAGTTCAAATCCTGGTGTCGTAATAACATCCGGTCGCCCCTCGACCCCTCATAAAAAACAATCAGCCGTTCGGAGGCGGCTTAGTATAAACTGTAGGTCCCTCTCATCGTTGGAAAAACATCAAGACGCAAAACCACTAATTGGAGGAGGAGCTCGGCCGAAAATCGCTTCAGCGGTTAAAAAAGCTTCAATTCTATATATATATATATATGGATGCATGTCTCTGTTGAATAAATCTTTTACATTTCTTAAACTTGGGTACACTTTCGTTGTACAACTGTAAATCAGCGACGAAGCTCCGCTACTTTCGTGCGAAATCTACCTAAAATCTTCCCATTTGAATTTCACAGCTGCTGCTGAACGTATTGTGTTTGTCGCGTTGTGTTCTATGTGTCGGTGTATGTTTTTAAATATTATATGAATATTTGACATATTTCATATTAAGTGTTAACACTTGTTGATTACAAGTGAAAATAACTTTCCATAAACTTTTGGTCATTCCAATTACATAACTAAATAAATAAATAAATTATTAAATAAAGTAATAAATATTTTAAAATGGATGCGCTTATTCTACGCTTCGACATGTTCGACCTTATAGATGAAAAAATAACATATGTGAGGATGTTTATAGCGGAATTAAATGAGAAAGGTGAGGAAAGTAGCATTTGCTGATTATTTTCGAGGTCAAACTATAACAAAATTGAATTATATAT